TTTGATTGTTCAATTTCTCAATTTTTCAATTTTCAACTTTCCTTTTCGGCTTCCGACTCCTCAATTTCTCGATCCTCCGATTTTTCGATTTCTCGAAGTCTCAGTTTTTGAATTTTTCGATGTTTCGATTTTTGGATTTCTCGGTTTTTCGATTTTTTTCTTTTGAGCTTTTCAATTTCTGGATTTTCCAATTTTTCAATGCCCCGATTTTTCAACTTTTCAAATTGAATTGGATTTCTCGATTCTTTAATTTTGCGATATTTCAATTATTCATTGTTTTAAATTTTAGTTTTTCCGATTTCTCGATTTTTTGAGTTTTCAGTTCTTCAATATTTAAATTTTTCAATTTTTCAAATTTTTGCGTTAAATTTTCAGTTTTCTGATTTCTCAATTAATCTATTTTTGATTTTCCCACTTCGCAAAGTTTCGATTTTTCAGTTCTTCAATTCTTCGATTTTTCGACTTCGCTTTATTGGTTTTTCGATTTCTCAATTTTTGGATTTTTCTTTCAGTTTTGATATTTTTCAATACTTCGATTCTTTCATTTTTCGACTTCTAGATTTTTCTATTTTTTAATTTTGGATTTTCAGTTTTTTGTTTTTTATTTCAATTTCTCAATTTTTCAACTTTTTCATATTTTAATTTTTAAATCTCAATTAAATCTCAATTCACTGAGATTCGGATGTTTCGATGTTTTGATTATTCAATCTTTCGCTTTATCAATTTTTCCATATTTAAGTTTTCGATTTTTCGATTTTGGCCTATTTCGGTTTCTCAATTTTTTGATTTTTCGACTTCTCAATTTTTCGACTCCTCGATTTTTTTGTCTTTTGATTTTTCGATTTCTCGATGTCTCAATTTTTGAATTTTACAATGTTTCGATTTTTCGATTTGTTGGTTTTTCGATTTTTTGCCTTTGGGTTTCTCGATTTTTCGATGGAAAATCGAAAAATAAAAAAAATTGGACAATCGAAAATTTAAAAATTCCGAAAATTGAAAAATTGAAATATAGGAGAACTAAAAACTCAAAATATCGAAAAAAACTAATAATTTCAAAATTGAAAAGTTAAAATTGAGAAATCGAAAAACTGAAAAATCACAAAATCGAACGAAATATCCAAAAATTAGGAAATTAAAAAATTGAGAAACAGAAAAGTCAAAAAAGCAGAGTCGAAAAATCGCAAACTTAAAAAATCGAAAAATTGAAAAATCAAAAACCTGAATAATCGAAAAATTGAAGAACTGAAGAACTGAAAAATCGAAACTTTGGGAAATGGAGAAATGGGAGTATAAAAAAATAAGATTAATGGAGAAATCCGAAAACTAAAAAATTCGAAAATCTAAAATTTAAAAATCGAAAAACTGAAAAATCAACGAATCGAGAAGTCGAAAATTTAAAAAATTGGAAAATTGAAAAAGCGGATAAATCAAAAATCGAAACATCGAAAAATCGAGAAACCGAAAAGCAAAAGATCGAAAAACCAACAAATCGAAAAATGGAAACATCGTAAAATTCAAAAATTGAGACATCAAGAAATCGAAAAATCAAAAGACAAAAAAAATCGAGGAGTGAAAAAATCGAAAAATTGGGAAACCGAAATAGGCCAAATATATGGAAAAATTGATAAAGCGAGAGATTGAACAATCAAAACATCGAAACATCCGAATCTCAATAAATTGAGATCTCAAAAAATTTAAAAATTCGGAAATTTGAAAAATTAAAATATAGAACTGGAATCTCGAGAAATTGAAATGTAAAACAATCGAAAAATTGAAAAATCGAAAGTATAAAAAATGAAAAACTGAAAATCCAAAAATAAAAAATCCAAAATCTAGAAGTCGAAAATCAAAGAATCGAAGTATTGAAAAGTATCAAAACTGAAAGAAAATCCAAAAATTGAGAAATCGAAAAACTACTAAAGCGAAGCCGAAAAATCGAAGAATTGAAGAACTGAAAAATCGAGAGAAGTGGGAAATTCAAAAATAGAAAAATTTAAATACTGAAGAACTGAAAAGTCAAAAAATCGAGAAATCGAAAAATCTAAAATTTAAAACATTGAAAAGTTAAAATATCCTAAAACTGAAAAATGGAGAAATCCAAACATCAAAAAATCAAAAAAATAAAAATTCGAAAATCTAAAATTTAATAATCGAAAAACTGAAAAATCAACGAATCGAAAAGTCGAAAATTTAAAAAATTTGAAAATAGAAAAATCGGATAAAACAAAAATCGAAACATCGAAAAATCGAGAAACCGAAAAGCAAAAAATCGAAAAACCAACAAATCGAAAAATCGAAACATCGTAAAATTCAAAAATTGAGACATCGAGAAATCGAAAAATCAAAAGACCAAAAATTCTAGGAGTGGAAAAATTGAAAAATTGGGAAACCGAAATAGGCCAAAACATGAAAAAATTGATAAAGCGAGAGATTGAACAATCAAAACATAGAAACATCCGAATCTCAATAAATTGAGATCTCAAAAAATTTAAAAATTCGGAAATTTGAAATATTAAAATATACAACTGGAAACTCGAGAAACCGAAAAATCCAGAAATTTAAAAATTAAAATATGGAAAAGTTGAAAAATTGAGAAATTCAAATATAAAACAATCGAAAAATTGAAAAATCGAAAGTAGAAAAAATGAAAAACTGAAAAGTCAAAGAATCGAAGTATTGAATAATATCACAACTGAAATAAATGTCCAAAAATTGAGGAATCGAAAAACCAATAAAACGAAGTCGAAAAATCGAAGAATTGAAGAACTGAAAAATCGAGGGAAGTGGAAAAATCAAAAATAGCTTCTTTGAATAATCAGAAAACTGAAAATTTAACGCAAAAATTTGAAAAATTGAAAAATTTAAATACTGAAGAACTGAAAAGTCAAAAAATCGAGAAATCGAAAAACCTAAAATTTAAAACATTGAACAATTAAAATATCGCAAAACTGAAGAATCGAGAAATCCAATTCAATTTAAAAAATTAAAAAATTGAAAAATCGGGACATTGAAAAATTGGAAAATCCAAAAATCCAGAAATTGAAAAGCTCAAAAGAAAAAATCGAAAAACCGAGAAATCCAAAAATCGAAACATCGAAAAATTCAAAAACGTCTCAGTTTGGAATTTTTTCATGTCTTAGAAAATTAAAAAGTAAAAAATACAATAACAAAAATTTTAAAATGCGGTTTACGAAAAATTAATTGACCTGTGCAAAGAAGAAAATTTTGGAAACGCTGACAAATATTACAAGTACAAGTACACCCAATAAAATGGAACAGACAAAATAAAGCTTCAAACATGATTATTTTTATACTAAAATTCTGAAGTTTATAACCTGCACATTTTATTTATTTATTTATTTTATCTTGTTTTCGAAATATAATAAACATTTCAAACAATGTCTGTAACTTATTTTAATGTAAATTATATTCATCTGGTTGACAAAATCAGATGTAATATTAGTCTGATTTTGACATTATTCTAGATTTTATTACAGCAGAACTGCGTATTCTTTTTAAATTTTAGAAGTTACGGAAACTAGTTCAAGAAACAATTAGTTATCTCGTATTTTTGGAACAAAATCTACCAAAATGTCGGATAATAGCAATTGTTTTTCATAGAAACAAACAGTCTTCAAAGCAGCCTTTAACAACTCGATATTACAAACATGCCTCTTAAGTTCTTAATGCGTTTTCTTCTGTCTTGTAATTATTTGTAATGTCAACGCCCAAAGTTTATGTCATTCTGTTATTTACTTTGAATATATATTTTCATTTTGTGTGAATATTTTTGTAACACCACGAATCTAAATTTTACTAAATCTTGTAAAACTAAACAATTATACCAGTTTAAAAACCCTTGGAAAGTTTCTGTCAGTCTTCAGATATACTCAAATAAAAATATGCTTCAAATTCATTAAAATTCAATTCTTATCACGTTACAACGCGTTGCTTCATATTTTTTATGTCAAGTATATTTTCATATTTTGTACATATATGTTTATACACATTACTGTTTACGGAACAATGTTAATTGTGGATTTATAGATAACTCCTCGTATAAGAGCAGAATGAAGGGTGTTTGTCTTTGCTAATGTTTGATGGCGCCATCTGATGTAGAGTAAAATAAATCTAATACGTTGGCTCACTGTAGTGAAAATGCGCGTTGACGAAAAATTTGTCCCACGCCCCCTGGATTCCTTGTCCAAAAGCTCACTCTTTAATAATAATAATAATAATAATATTTATTAGAAACAATACAGGATTGTATTCTAAAAGGATGATGCATCGCACTTTGTGCGTTTTTCAGCATCCCCTCTAAAGCCTAAATAAACTTAAAACAAATATGTTATTTTATTTTAACTTAAATATTTCGATAGAAAATATGCAACAATTTGAGTTTTTAAAGAAATAAAACTATTACTACTTACAATTTTGTCACCGTATTCATTTAAAATTTTTGTACAAATATATGAAAATGAAGCTTTAAATTTTTCTGTAGCGTGTTTAGGAATATCATAGGGCTCTTTATTTCTAAGATTGCGCTGGTGTATATCTTCTCTCCTTCTTAGACATTTTATTAAATACACTGGTTCTCCCTTTTTGATTATGCTATATACGGCCCTTATGTATATCAAATTAAATCTTTCTTCAATTTTTAAAATGGCTAGTTTGAAATAGTTAGGTGTGATATGTTCTCTGAATGGTAATAAATAGCTAAGCTTTAGGCGAAGTAAAATTTGTATTAGGTTGTCCAACTATAATATACTTAAACAATGCTGATAGCATACAATACAAATAATAACTACTATGATTTAAAATCTAATAAATCGATTATATTATGCAACCAACAATACTTCTCTGATTATGCAACCAATACCACTCAAAACACTTCGTTGTGGTCGGATTTCGACGCACCAAAAAACTTCACCTCTCGCACTACCCAGGGACTGGTAAAGAAAACAGCACACTGTACACTTAAATTTTAATTTGACATAAGATTAGGTAGCTGATTGGGTTTTTGAACACATATTTTGACAGTAAAACTGCAATGTATAGGTACTATCAATACTTATTCATCTTATGTACTTACATAATAGTATCAATAAACAGTTTGTCATAAACTAACATAAAGTGTACTTATGCTATCTCAGTCGTACCTCATTTTGAGCCGTAATGGGGTACGACCGGTTTTTACATGTCCTCTCTCTGTGTATGTTTTTTTTTTCTCTTAATTCTCCTTCCAGCACCGCGACGCACCTTCGGTGCGCCCGACGTGTCATTAAAACAACTTTCAAAAGTGAACATTATTGTATCTGTGTAGAGTGGATCTAGCCTAGAGTGTGAAGAGTGGAAGTTGTTTTAACGAATCTCCGCGCGAAAAAAACAACGTGTAATAAAATCAATAGCAAATAACATATTTAGAGCTTTTAACAACTAACACGTAATAATATTGCTAGACATTAATATAGGGGACAACTAGTTTAACAATCCTATTGCAAATGAGAGCTCCGCAAACGAAAGGGGGCTTTGGCGGTTCCAGCGCTCCGTTCTTTGTGATCGTTTGACAGAACTGATATGTTGCGAACGCTGCAACCACCAAACGTAACACCAGGTAACACTTATAGAAAATGTAACACATATTCATTGTTTAATATCAGTACAACCGCGTTATTGTATAAACGTGAATTTAGAATATCTTTAGTCAAACAAGAAAAAAATTCTCCAAACGATGTTCATCTCGTTATAACATTAAACTACGAAAGTCTAACATTTCAACTATTATTATCCCACTTGTAAACACCGGGGCGTGTTTAGACTACGAAGTAGACACAGACGCGACGCTTCCAAGCACCGCATCTTATCACTAGCGCTATCACAACATTTAGAATTGATCGTCCCGTCCGTCTTATAAAAAGCGGACGCTTGGAAAACGCCGCCATGAGCTTCAGAAGTGCCAACGTAAAAGGACGGTTGGCAGCGTGCGACTGCTCGCACGTCCACCAACCGACCGCGACGACGACGAAAACCAAAAACCCTAAAAACGTATATCACTAAACACATTGAGCGATTTTCTCACTATAAGGTAACAACGCTAAGAACTCTTAGCTCACAATCTTGTCGAAAACGGCAACCGAATACACCAAATCAACCCTACGAAACGAAAATCCCTACGACAAAAAAATCCCTGACTAAATATTCGTGTTGAATTGACTTAAAAACACAGACACTGTGTATCACACACTCCATATTGTCGCAACAATAACGAAAATAAACACTGGGAGAATGTTACAGTCAGAACCAGATCGTCCTCGTCGTACCGGGTTCGATGCGATACTTTTGCGTAAAATCCTCCGATTTATACCTACCTACGACCTCAATCTCTTCGGTCGAAGACTAAATGCGCTCGTCTTTCGTATCTGCCAAAAAGAAAAATATCTCACTCCCAAAATCTCGACAGACATCTCTACGATCTCGTTACAACATAAACTTGATATTTTGGGAGAAAAAGAGATTTTTCTTCGAGTTTTTATGTTATAACGAGATTGAACTACTTACAACCAAACACTACGCAAGCGTGCAGCCAACACAGACGGTGTTAATTCTATTAAGATTCCTGTTTTGTAAACAACCTTAATCTCGCGTTGGGTTGATTAAAATTTCAGGAGACGAAACGAAACGGCGGAGCTCTTGAAAACGTCAAAACGGAACTTTAGACATTTCAAGCTAGATTTAAGGTGCCGCAGCATGCAGGTAGATAATTGACTCGGTTATACGTAAGGGGAGAGTGTGCGTATATATTTCGGTAATAAGTACTTGGTCCTAACCTAGGTAGATTGTCCACGAGATGTCGTCAGCGTCCGAGAAAAATTAAAACACAAAAACGAGACGTTTGTCGCTTCTCGGTTCATATTGTCACGCAATTTTCAAGTAATATTAAAAATGCAGTCACAGATTTTTCAAAAGCCGACTTAATGCACGATATTTTATAACCACCCTGTATGTATTAAATAAGGTCATCGCCAAATTTTATTAAAAATGCACGTTCACGGCTTTTTGATCTAACCTAGATTATCATAAAAAACACCACGGGACCAAGAGGTTCTTTCAAATTTTTTTGGTTCTTCAGTTTTTAGTTTTTGCATTTTTCGATATTTCAGTTATTTGTTCGTTTAATTTCTCGATTTGCAGTTTTACAGTTTTAAAAATCTTCAATTTTTCAACGTCTGAATTTTTCTATTTTTTAGTTTCTTCATTTTTCCACTTTTCGTTGTTCAAAATTTTCCATTTTCCAGTTTTTATTGCCTCAATTTTTCGATTTTCCAGTATTTGTTAATTTTTCAATCTCTTGATTTGTAATTTTTCGATTATTCAACTTTTAGATATCTTAATTTTTCGTGGTTTTTATTTTTCGATTTTAGTTTTTCAAGTTTCCAATTTCAAAAATTTTGAATTTTTTGAATTACCTTCCGTTTTTTTTTAATTGTTTAATTTAAAAATTCTTCAATATGTGGATTTTTCACTTTCATATATTTTAATTTCTCGATTTTTCAACTTTTATTTTGCAATTCGAAGTTTTTTGTTGCTTGAATTTTCCGAGTTTCGAATTCAGAAAATGTTAAATTTTTCGATTTTTCAATTTTTCAATCTTTAAATTTTGTTAATTTTTCAATTTTTCGATTTGTAATTGATCCAGTTTTCAGTTTTCTATAGCCCATTTTTTAATTTTTCTATTTTTACTTATTTTAATTATTAGTCTTTTTTATTTTCCGATTTTTTAGTTTTTTAGCTTTTATTTTGGACATCTCTTTCAATTTACATTTTTTTTAATTCTTTTAATTTTCAACTTCCAAGTTTTTCCGTCTTTTAGTTGCTTCAATTTTTCGAGTTTTCAATTTAAAAAAACCTCAATTTTTCGATTTTTCAACTTCGGAATTTTTCAGTTTTCAATTTCTCGAATTTTAATTATCAATTTTTAGATATTTCGACTCAATCTTGGTGTTATTTATTTTTCGATTTTTTAATTTTTCAGCTTTTATTTTACAATTTTTCGAATTTTCACTTTCCATTATTTTAATTTTTCAATTTAAAAAAGCTTGAATTGTTTGATTTTTAATTTTCGAATTTTTGGATTTTACGGTTTATTTCTTTCAGTTTCTCGATTTGCAATTATCAATGTTTAGAAAATTTTCAATCTTTCGAATTTTCAATTTCTTAATTTGCAATTTGTCTACTACTGAATTAAATTTTTTTTAATTTCTGATTTTTAATTTTTTTTTTAAGTTTCAGTCCCTCCAGTTTAATTTTTCTATTTTTCAATCTGCAATTTTTCAAAAATTTCAGTTTTTTGACTTGAAAAGCTGAAATCTTTTAAATTATTTTCGATTTTCCAGTTTCTTGATTTTCAATTTTTTGAAATTTTCAATTTTTCTTGTTTTCATTTGAAAAATTTCAGGTTTTTGACTTTTCGAGACCTCAATTTTAAAAAGTTTCAGTTTTCCTATCTTTAAGTACTTTCGTTTCTTCAATTTTTCAAGTTTTCAATTTTACACTTTTTCGTTTTTTCAATTTTCCGAGTTTGCAATTTCAAAAATTTTGAATTTTTTGAATTTGCACCTTCCGATTTTTTTTAATCGTTTAATTTAAAAATTCTTCAATATGTGGATTTTTCAACTTTCATATATTTTAATTTCTCGATTTTTCAACTTTTATTTTGCAATTTTTCGAGCGAATTTAAAAAAATTCAAGTTTTTTGTTGCTTCAATTTTCCGAGTTTCGAATTCAGAAAATGTTAAATTTTTCGATTTTTCAATTTCCGAATTTTCCAATTTTTCAATCTTTAAATTTTGTTAATTTTTCAATTTTTCGATTGGTAAATTTTGTTCCAGTTTTCAGTTTCCTATAGCCCATTTTTTAATTTTTCTATTTTGACTTATTTTAATTATTAGTCTTTTTTATTTTCCGATTTTTTAGTTTTTTAGCTTTTATTTTGGACATCTCTTTCAATTTATATATTTTTTTAATTCTTTTAATTTTCAACTTCCAAGTTTTTCCATCTTTTGGTTTTTATGTTGCTCCAATTTTTCGAGTTTTCAATTTAAAAAAAACCTCAATTTTTCGATTTTTCGACTTCGGAATTTTTCAATTTTCAATTTCTCGAATTTTAATTATTCAATTTTTAGATATTTTGACTCAATCTTGGTGTTATTTATTTCTAGATTTTTTAGTTTTTCAGCTTCTATTTTACAATTTTTCGAATTTTAACTTTCCATTATTTTAATTTTTCAATTTAAAAAAGCTTGAATTCTTTGATTTTTCAATTTTCGAATTTTTGGATTTTAGGGTTTATTTCTTTCAGTCTCTCGATTTGCAATTTTCAATGTTCAGAAAATTTAATTTTTTGCGTTTTCAATTTTTCGAATTTTCAATTTCTGGATTTGCAATTTGTCTACTATTGAATTAATTCTTTTTTAATTTCTGAATTTTAATTTTTTTTTAATTTTCAGTCCCTCCAGTTTAATTTTTCGATTTTTCAATCTGTAATTTTTCAAAAATTTCAGTTTTTTGACTTGAAAAGCTGAAATCTTTTAAATTATTTTCGATTTTCCAGTTTCTTGATTTTTTATTTTTTGAAATTTTCAATTTTTCTTGTTTTCATTTGAAAAATTTCAGGTTTTTGACTTTTCGAGACCTCAATTTTAAAAAGTTTCAGTTTTCCTATCTTTAAGTACTTTCGTTTCTTCAATTTTTCAAGTTTTCAATTTTACACTTTTTCGTTTTTTCAATTTTCCGAGTTTTCAATTTTAAAAATTTTCTCTTGTTCAAATTGCAATTTTTGGTTTTCATTTTAAAAAATTCCATTTTGTTAACTTGACTTTTTGCAACTTCTAATTTCTGGATTTTTAGTCTTTCGAAATTTTTCAATTGCAATTTTTCTTGTTTCACTTTTGAATTCCTTAATTTTTTGCCGCCTTCAGTTTTTCGATTTTTAATTTTTCTTTTTTCAAATGTTCAATGTTTAGAAAATTTTATTTTTTGTGTTTTCAATTTTTCTAATTTTCAATTTCTGGATTTGCAATTTGTCTAATAAATGATTTTTTTTTAATTCCTGAATTTTATTTTTTTTTAATTTTCAGTCCCTCCAGTTTAATTTTTCGATTTTTCAATCTGTAATTTTTCAAAAATTTCAGTTTTTTGACTTGAAAAGCTGACATCTTTTAAATTATTTTCGATTTTCCAGTTTCTTGATTTTTTTTTCAACTTCTCGCTTTTTCAATTTTAAAAATTTTCTCATGGTCAAGTTGCAATTTTTGGTTTTCATTTTAAAAAATTCCAATTTTTTAAGTTGACTTTTTGGAATTTTTAATTTCTCGATTTTTAGTCTTACGATTTTTCAATTTTACAATTTTTCTTGTTTCATTTTTTAAAATTTTTTGATTTTTCAATTTTTCGATTTGCAATTTTTCTAGTTTTCATTTTGAAAAATTAATTCGTTTCATCAATTTTTTATTTTGCAATTTTTCGATTTTCAATAACGACATTATTTTAATTTTTCAGTTTTTCGATCTTTCAATTTTTAAATTTTTGAATTTTTCATTGGTTCGATTTTTCAGAAATTCATTCAAATAATTTTTAGTTTTTTCAACTTTTTGATACTTTAATTTTTCGTTTTTTCAATTTTTCAGTTTCTCGATTTACTTTTGAATTTGCGATTTTTTTAGTTTTCATTTTGAAAAATTTCAGTTTTTTGACTTCACTCTTTGATAATTTTTTCGATTTTTCAGTTTCTCAATTTTTAATTTGTTGATTTTTCAGTTCCAACTTTGAGACCTCAATTTTAAAATGTTTCAGTTTTTCATTTCTTCAGTTACTCGATTTATGATGAATGATTTTTAAATTTTTCGGGTTTTCAATTTAAAAATGTCAAATTTTTCGTTTCTTCAATTTTACGATTTTTCAATTTTACAATTTTTCTTTTTACATTTTTAAAATTTTAAATTTTTGTAATTTTTTGATTTTTCAATTTTTCAATTTGCAGTTTTTCTAGTTTTCATTTTAAAAAATTAATTCGTTTCATCAATTTTTAATTTTGCAATTTTCCGATTTTCAATAACGACATTTTTTTAATTTTTCAATTTTTCGATCTATCAATTTTTAAATTTTTGAATTTTTCATTGTTCCGATTTTTCAGAAATTCATTCTAATAATTTTTAGATTTTTCAACTTTTTGATACTTTAATTTTCCGTTTTTTCAGTTTTTCAGTTTCTCGATTTAGTTTTGAATTTGCGATTTTTTTAGTTTTCATTTTGAAAAATTTCAGTTTTTTGACTTTTCACTCTTTGATAATTTTTTCGATTTTTCAGTTTCTCAATTTTTTATTTTTTGATTTTTCAGTTCCAACTTTGAGACCTCAATTTTAAAATGTTTCAGTTTTTCATTTCTTCAGTTACTCGATTTATGATGAATGATTTTTAAATTTTTCGGGTTTTCAATTTAAAAATTTTTCTCTTGTTCAAGTTGCAATTTTTGGTTTTCATTTTAAAAATGTCAAATTTTTCGTTTCTTCAATTTTACGATTTTTCAATTTTACAATTTTTCTTGTTTACATTTTTAAAATTTTAAATTTTTGTCATTTTTTGATTTTTCAATTTTTCGATTTGCAATTTTTCTAGTTTTCATTTTGAAAAATTAATTCGTTTCATCAATTTTTTATTTTGCAATTATTCGATTTTCAATAACGACATTTTTTTAATTTTTCAGTTTTTCGATCTTTCAATTATTAAATTTTTGAGTTTTTCATTGTTCCGATTTTTCAGAAATTCATTCAAATAATTTTTAGATTTTTCAACTTTTTTAAACTTTAATTTTTCGTTTTTTCAATTTTTCAGTTTCTCGATTTACTTTTGAATTTGCGATTTTTTAGTTTTCATTTTGAAAAATTAATTCGTTTCATCAATTTTTTATTTTGCAATTTTTCGATTTTCAATAACGACATTTTTTTAATTTTTCAGTTTTTCGATCTTTCAATTATTAAATTTTTGAATTTTTCATTGTTCCGATTTTTCAGAAATTCAGTCAAATAATTTTTAGATTTTTCAACTTTTTTATACTTTAATTTTTCGTTTTTTCAATTTTTCAGTTTCTCGATTTACTTTTGAATTTGCGATTTTTTTAGTTTTCATTTTGAAAAATTTCAGTTTTTTGACTTCACTCTTTGATAATTTTTTCGATTTTTCAGTTTCTCAATTTTTAATTTTTTGATTTTTCAGTTCCAACTTTGAGACCTCAATTTTAAAATGTTTCAGTTTTTCATTTCATCAGTTACTCGATTTATGATGAATGATTTTTAAATTTTTTGGGTTTTCAATTTAAAAATGTCAAATTTTTCGTTTCTTCAATTTTACGATTTTTCAATTTTACAATTTGTCTTGTTTACATTTTTAAAATTTTAAATTTTTGTCATTTTTTGATTTTTCAATTTTTCGATTTGTAATTTTTCTAGTTTTCATTTTGAAAAATTAATTCGTTTCATCAATTTTTTATTTTGCAACTTTTCGATTTTCAATAACGATATTTTTTTAATTTTTCAGTCTTTTAATCTTTCAATTATTAAATTTTTGAATTTTTCATTGTTCCGATTTTTCAGAAATTCATTGAAATAATTTTTAGATGTTTCAACGTTTTGATACTTTAATTTTTCGTATTTTCAATTTTTCAGTTTCTCGATTTAGTTTTGAATTTGCGATTTTTTAGTTTTCATTTAGAAAAATTTCAGTTTTATGACTTTTCACTCTTTGATAATTTTTTCGATTTTTCAGTTTCTCAATTTTTAATTTTTTGATTTTTCAGTTCCAACTTCGAGACCTCAATTTTAAAAAGATTTTTAAATTTTTCGGGCTTTCAATTTAAAAAATTTTCTCTTGTTCAAGTTGCAATTTTTGGTTTTCATTTTAAAAATGTCAAATTTTTCGTTTCTTCAATTTTACGATTTTTCAATTTTTCGATTCATTTAAATCCTTAAAAAAGACCAAAATTTATCCGGAATGTTCCTCCTGAACAACTTAATACAATTTTTTTTTAAATGTGAGTTCGAAAAAAAAATCTGGGAATACCTACCTGGCGTCTTACGTTTGAAAGGATTTGGTCAAATCTAGTTTTTTTCTAAGAATTTGAAAGAATCTCTAGTGTTTTCCTTTTAAGCTTAAAAGATCGTACATCAAGTTGGCTCTGAAACTTCCTGAAATTTGCCGCTTCGTTGTGATGACTAATGATTACTCGTCACCTGTCACCATAACCTAATACATTTCAAGCTTTTCCAGGGTGATATATTGCAATCCATCTCGAGTAAGCGGCAAATTATATTAAAAACGCTTTTGACAACCTGAACTGAAAAGCGACGAACGTTTTTATTTTTAACCACCTACTCAAGAATTGATTGTAATTTTTGTAAAATTCGATGGCGTCCGTATACCACGAACATGCAAATCTAGATGCAGCAAAAAAACACAAACGTTTTGTTTGTTTTAATAACAATAAAAAAAATAAAACTCGGGTTGAAAATTAAAGCTCGAAATTTGTATGTAGGAAAAATATACTCATTTCTTAAAAAATAGAAGGTAGGCACGTCGTTATTTAAGAAGATCGTTGATCTATATAAAATAGTTAACAGAAAAAACGCAAAGTGGGGAAGTTATTAATGGAATTTTGTTAATATAAGCCACGCCGGTCGTGGGCGTGGCTTACACCACGCAAAGGGTGGCGCCTAGAGGTAACTCTCGCTAAATTCGATATCTGATTGGCTGCACCTCGACGACCTTGTATAGATCGAAAGTCCACCCCCGAACGCCGAATCCGAGGTCCCGGCGTCGGTAATAAAGTCGGCCACAATAAGCGTGTCCTTACCTTGGGTGAGCGTCGACGGAGTCAGCCCCCCTTTCCCGGCCTCCTTCTCCGCCAGCCTGTCTTTCAGCAGCTTTATCTTCTCCTCCTTCTGCAAAACCGCAACTTTGATACAAACCCGACTCGATTTCGAGCACCGTACCTGAGAGATGAGCCGCTGCAGGTCCTCGTTCTCGTTCAGCAGCTTCTGGTAGCGCTCCTCGTCCTCTTTCGAGATTCCGGCGTCCGGGTTGTACTTGCTTTCAGCCTTATCCCTCGGGTGTCGGATGACTTCGATAACCTAGACGTTAGTGGGGTTGGTTAGACACTCGGGGGCGACTGTAAGAGCTCGAATACCTTAGGCACGAAAATGAGCGCCATGCTGAGGAAACAACAGAACACGATGGCGAGAGCCACGAAAGCGAAACTGGCGTCCTGCTGGCTGGCTATCACCATGGTGACGGGGGCGGTGATCAAGCACAGGATGACCACGTTGTATATGCTCATTCCTACGTATCTCGAGTCGTTGATTTGTTTGACTTTGACCGAGCGGGTCTCGTAGGCGAGGAACAGTCCGAAGATCTAGGAAAAGAACGTGAGGCGCAGGCGAGTTTGCGGTTGCGGGATTACCAGAACGAGCCCTTTGTAGGCGTAGATGACGGCCAGCCAGACGTTGTTGTTGTGACTTTCGCAGTGCTCGAGCTCCGGTCTGATCTTGGAGTCGTCGTTGGACGACTCGGGGTCTTCTAGGGGGAACTGCTCGATGCGGCGCTGCAGGGGGTCGTGCAGCTGCCAGGCCACCATCACCACGAAGTCGACGACGAGGAGTCCCGATACCATGGAGTAGAGCTTCCACGGCTCCACCTTTTTCTACGATAAATATAAAACAATTAATAGATTTAGTCGGGGGGAGTGTGCCATGTTCGCCCGCTGTTTGTATGTGACATTGATTAAAAACATATAGATAGACCCATGCTATTGTTCGGCGAAAAGCTTGGACACCAATCACGCGCTTATGCAACACAAATTACAGCAACAATACATTTAATAAATCTACCACTCGATAGAGGGCGACGAAAAAAAATGTGTAAAAATCTCATAGTAAGCATTTAGATAATTTACAGCGTTGCCAGATGAGCCTAACACAACTTTGCCGTTATTTCTAGTCGATTAGATTTTATTTCGTTTAAAAGTTTCTGGTAAATAAATTGAATTATTATAATGAATAAACAATACAAACAAATTATTACTTGTTATTTTAAACACTTGTTAGTGTTGATGAAAACATAAATAGTTATTAAAGTTATTCTAAATAGCTCAAATTTTACAGTACGAGTGGGATGTTTCAGGACGAGTAGGTAGCCAAGTCTTTAATTTCGAAACGAGAATGCGAAAAGAGTTACCGGACGTATGTTGTTAATGTTATGTATTTTATTTCATACTGTCGACATATTTTTAAAATTAATTATTATTTTGAGAAAAAATCCAAATTAGTCACTTTTTCTGACATCGTTAGTAACCGCTGTTTGGTAAATGTTTTAATTTGTTTATTCGTGCAAATCAGCATCAAAAATGTTACACATAGTAACACTTTACAGGACTTGTCCGTTTTTTTTATTTTACCGGACTCCTTCGAATCCAGTAAAACGTCAAATTTGACACAGTATGAAGTAAAATAAATGTAGATAACACATTTGAAATTTTTTCTACGCTTTCGTGTGCTCGCTTTTGTTACTAATAATACAAAGCAAAATGCTTTTAAATGCGTTCTCTCAAAACTTACTATGTATATTTTTTTAGAAAATTTATTAGACTAGAGACGGGCAGATATATACTAAAGACAAAACATATGCATTCATATAATATATCTTAAAAAACGGAAAACATATGCCGCATAAAGTCAAAAATAAGACATTTTCTTTCACATTTTATAAATAGACAATTTTTCGATTATTCAATTTCTCGATTTTTCAATGTTTTAATTTTTCGATTTCTCAGTTTCTCCATTAATCACTTTTTTGATTTTCCATTTTCTCGATTTCCCGACTTTTCAATATTTTAATTCAATTTTTCATTTTTTAAACTTTCGATTTTTCAGTTTTGAGATTTTTCAATTTTTCTTCCATTTCTCAATTTTTCTATGTTTTAGTTTTGGGATTTCTCATTTTTGATTTTTTAAATTTTACATTTTTCAATTTTGGGATTTTTTGATGTTTCGATATCTTGACGATCTCCCTTTGTCGATTTTTAGATTTCTCGATTTTTCGAGTTTTCGATTTCTCAGTTTTTCAATTCTTCAATTTTTCGACTTCCCTGTTTTTCCATTTTAAAGGTTTTTGATTTCCGATTTTTCATTGTTAAACTTATGATTTTTTGGTTTTTCATTTCTCGATTTCCCAACTTCTGCATTTTTCAGTTTTGAGATTTTTCAATTTTTCGAGTTTTCGATTTCCAATTTATCATTTTTTTCAACTTTCGATTTTTTTGGTTTTTCATTTTTCAATTTCCCAAATTTTCGATTTTTCAATCTTGAGATTTTTCAATTTTTCGATTTTTCAGGTTTTTGGTTTCCCAGTTTTTCGATTTTTATTAGGATAATTTATTACTTCCGACATATTTTCGGTGACAAATTTAATCTTCGCATACTTCAGCGTAGTTAGTGAACTCGTTGTGACCACTGAAATATACAAAGAGTAAATTTTGAAATGGAACGAAAGTCGAAGAATACTTTCAAAGCCACGATCAAAATGTATTTGCTTATCTTCGCCAAAAAATGCATGACGTCATGGCAAAATTTGATATGATGAGTCAGTACCTGTGATTTATCATTGCAGTAATAGTTTTTAGATTTACTTATACAGGCTGTCTCAAAAAACGATCACTTCGATTTTCGATTTTTCGTTTTTTCGACCAACCGTTTCATCTAATTAGATTTTTCAGTTTCCATTTTTCGATCAACTTTTCGATTTTTTTACTTTCCCATTTTCTGATTTTTCAAATTTGCGGTATTTTGAATTTTCGAGTTTTCGGTTTTTCCGTTTTTCGATTTGTTGATTTTTCTGTTGGTCAGTTTTTAAACTTTGCTGCAATTGTTTTGCATTTTTCGATTATTTATACTTTCCGATTTTTTTGATTTTTGAATTTTCGATTTTACGTTTTTAATTCTTCGATTTCCGATTTTTCAATTTTTCGGTTTTTTAATTTTTCGAGTCTCGATATTTCGATTTTCGATTTTTCAGATTTGTGGATTTGTGTCCGTTTTTTCGATTTTTAGAATATTGATTAATCGAATTTTCGATTTTTGAGCATTTCGATTTTTCCATTTTTAGATATTTTTCGATTTTTTTTAATTTTTCGATTTTTTTGTTCGTCAGTTTTAGACTTTGCAATTTTTACTTTTCCACTTTTCTATTATTTTAGTTTCGGATTATTCGATTTTTGAATTTTCGTTTTTTTTCATTTTTCGATTTCCGATTTTTTAATTTTTCGATTTTTCGGTTTTTTAATTCGTCGATTCTCGATATTTCGATTTTCCAATCTCCGATTTTTCAGTTTCCAGTTTTCGATTTTTCTGTCCGTCACTTTTTAGGCTGTGAAATTTGTTTACTTTTCGATTTTTGAATTGTCGACTTTTAGAGTTTTCAATATTATGAATTTTCGGTTTTCCTATTTTTCGGTTTTTGAAATTTCCATTTTCGGTTTTTCAATCTTGCAAATTTCCGATTTTTCAGATTTGTCAATTTCCGGTTTTTCGATCGACCTACGTATTATATTCATTGAATTTTCGATTTTCGGTTTTTCCATTTTTAGATTTTCGATTTTTCAGTTTTGTATTTTCAGATTTTCTGTTTTTCGCATATCTGATTCATCAAATTTTCGATTTTTCGGCTTTTCGATTTTTCGATATTTGATTTTCGAATTTTCGATTGTTCAGTTTTCCATTCTTCAGCTTTTAGACTTCAATTTTTTTACTTTTCGATTTTCCGAATTTTCGAGTTTCAATTTTCAGATTTTTGATTTTTCGATTTTCCTTTTTAAATCTTTGAACTTTTCGGTTTTGATTTTTCGAATTTTTGATTTTTAATTTTTCCATTCTTCGGTTTTTAGACTTCAATTTTCTTTCTTTTAAATTTTTCGATATTCTATTTTCCGCTTTCCAGAATTTTCGATTTTCAGTTTTCAGACTTTCGACCACTAGAATTTTGGATATTTCGGTTTCATGATTTTTAGATTTTTAGAAAATTTGAGTAGTCGAATTTTCGATTTTTCAATTCATCGATTTTTCTATGTTCAATTTTTCAATTTAAATTTTGCGATTTTCAATTTGTCCATTGTCGATTTTTAGAATTTTCGGTTTTTCAATTTTTCCATTCTCACCTTTTAGACTTCAATTTTGTTTCTTTCCGATTTTTTGGTTTTCGATTTTCCAAGTTTCTTTATTCAGATTTTCGATTTTCCACTTTTGCGATTTTAGATTTTTCGAATTTTTGTTTTTCCAATTTTTTGCTTTTTCGATTTTTCTGTTCGTTTCAGTTTTTAGGCTTTGCAATTTTTTCTACTTTATATATATATATATTTTGATTATTTTAATTTCCGATTTTTTAAAATTTTTGTTTTTGATTTTTTTAATTTTCAGCATTACAAATTTTTGACTTTTCGATTTTTTGGTTTTTCCGTTTTTCAATTTTCGATTTTTCGATTTTTGGGGTTTGTGAATTTCCACTTTTCGATCGACCTCGGTATTTGATTCATTGAATTTTCGATTTTTTGGTTATCCATTTTTAGATTTTCGATTTTTACGATTTGTATTTTTCGATTTTCTGTTTTTTGCATTAGTGAATTTCAGTTTTTCCGATTTTCGATTTGCCGCATATTTGATTAATCAAATTTTCGAAAAAGTTACCATGCTTACAAAAACTTTAAAACATCTACAATATTTCAAAGTATTCAGTTTTGCTATTCTTGATTTCTTCAATAAAACAAATTGACTCAGTCATTAACTTTTTTGAGACACCCTGTATAACCAAATCTAAAAAAATATTAATGCAGTGATAAATCACAAGTATAAAAACTCATCATATTTTATACATTTAAGATAGGATTTATTCTGCAAAATTTTGAAGTGACGTCATAATTTTTTTAGAGGGGATAAGCAAATATATTTTAATAAAAAATGTATCATGTTTATCATGACTTTAAAACATCTGCAAGATTTCAAAGTATTTGATTTTGCAAATTCAAAATTAAATTGCAAAATATTGTTTTATAATTTTGATTTTTTTTCCAAAAATCTGGACGTTCCGGATAAAAATTCAACACGGAATCATAAACTACATGTGTAGGACTATGTTACTGTATACAATTTAAAACCCATTTACTATGCATAAATTTGAAGTGACGTCATCACTTTATTGGTTGGGATGATTAGACAAATTTAATAATTTTGCGACATTTATGAAAAAAATATCAGTTAACAAAAATGGCACGTTTTTATTATTATGTCACTCAACGACAATATCGTTTTTTTTTTATTTATTTATTATGAACATTGCATAATTGTCGATCTCCCTGATTATGCCCTTAATACATAAATAACTATTATTTTACTTCATACTATGTCAAGTTTAACGTTTTACTGGATTCGAACGAGTCCGGAAAAATCAAAAAAACGGACAAGTCCGATAAAATTGAGCCAAAAAGGACAAGTGTTCCATTTCCGGAAGCGGCCACTGACCCTTTTGGGTCTCTTTTGCTTTACCTGTTATTGTAAATACAAATGTAAATTTAGTATTTCTGTAACCGTCCTGTATTAAACATCGAAACCGAACGCTGTCTATTATTTCGCACACAAAAAAGCAATATCAAAGTATAATTCGGTATCACATTGACGTATCAACCAGATTACAAAAAACACTGGTAGGACGAGCCGAGTTGCACAAACATTGGTCCTTCGAGACGGATTGCACAAAACATTCGTCCATCGAGTCGGATTATACAAAACAATAAGTCCTGTAAAGTGTTATAAGTACTATGTGTTTAAACATATGATGCTGATTTGCACGAATAAACAAATTAAAACATTTACCAAAGAGCGGTTGCTAACGATGTCAGAAAAAGTGACTCGATTTGGATTTTTTCACAAAATAATAATTATTTTATTGAATAAAAAAATATGTTGACAGTATGAAATAAAATACATAACATACGTCCGGTAACTCTTTTCGCAGTACTCGTTTCGAAATTAAAGACTCGGCTACCCACTCGTCCTGAAACATCCTACCCGTACTGTAAAATTTGAGCTATTTAGAATAACTTTAATAACTATTTATGTTTTCATCAACACTAACAAGTATTTAAAATAACAAGTAATAATTTGTTTGTATTGTTTATTCATTATAATAATTCCATTTATTTGCCAGAAACTTTTAAACGAAATAAAATCTAATCGAATAGAAATAACGGCAAAGTTAGACTCATCTGGCAACGTTGTCAATTATCTAAATGCTTACTATGAGATTTTTACAAATTTTTTTCGTCGCCCTCTATCGAGTGGTAGATTTATTAAATGTATTGTTGCTGTGATTTGGGTTGCATATGCGCGTGATTGGTGTCCAAGCTTTTCGCCGGCGTTTGACGGCCGAATGTTGGTACGCCATCTCTTGTTCGCCGGCGTTTGGCCTGTTCGCTCCAAACTATAGCATGGGTCGATCTATATGTATTTAATCAATGTACGTGAATAACGCGCGAACATTTAAGTCGAAAAACGGGCTCCAGGCCGCTTACCATTCTGACCTTCGGGTCGCTCTTGGCCTTGGTGGTTAGTCGATGCACCCGCCACACTTTGCTGAACATCGCGCCGAAGGACAGGGTGAATCCGGTGGATAACAACCACGCCCTTGTTTGACAAATGGCTGGATAGGCACCTGGGGATACAAATCTACCATCTAAACCGAGAAGGAAAACGGCCGTTAAGCATACTACGATTCCGAAGAGCATTATGGTATTGCATACGGGATGCGAAGACTGGATTACTCTGGAAACAAATCGGATTTGTGAGCGGTCGAGACAGTATTCCGGAGGGTCACCTTCGGTGGTTGTTCCACACGTTGAATACGACCAGGGCGATGGCCAGCAGGATTCCCACGCTGGAGATGACGCACATGCAAATGAAGAGCGGCAAGGAGACGGTACGCAATACTCGTCGGATGATTGTTCTGTCTTGAGGCACTTTTCCGCCTGGAAACGACCACCTCATTATTAAACCAGCGAAGAATCAAATTCGGGCTTCCTAAACCTTCGACGAACTTTCTGTATACATATAGCATAGTTTCAGATTTACGACTACCCGTGCGGTCCGCTGATAAGACGTTCGCCGCTGACTTCTTTCGAATCTATTCCGTTCCAGTCGTGTAGAAAAATCGCGAAATTGATTTTATTACTGTGGAGAAGTCGGGCCGTTGAATTGATCAACACAATTCCCTGGTGTCTCCAGAAAGGTCAGGAGAGATGTAGGTTACGTTACTTACGTCGTCTCGAACGTATTGTCGTCGACGGTAGAAGGAGGCGAAGTTTGTTTGTGTTTGTGTCGTTTCGTTCTCTGGAGGAGGGAGTACGGACGAGAGGAGCACTTGTGCATTATTTATTCACGGTTCGCATGTCTGATGTGCTTTTTTTTGATACCGACGAAATCGACTACGGGCGAATTTAAATAACGCGAGAACAATAGAAAAATTTCTCTATTCAGTTTCATGCACGGCGAGGATGGCGTTCGTGTGAATTAATTAAAAAGTTCGCGAATACTGAACAAAGAAGGGTAAGAGGGGGGGAGAAACCGATAAGAGTAATTTTTGTTTTTTTTAATTTTTCAGTTTAAAAATACTAAATTGTTTGATTTTCTATTTTCGAATTTTTTGATCTTTAAGTTTTTATTCCTTCGATTTTTCGTTTTACAATTTTTAAAATACTAGATATTTTAATTTTTCGATTTTTTAACTCTTGTTTTTTTATTTTTCGATTTTTTAGTTTTTCAGATGTTATTTTGCAATATTTCGATCTTTGAATTTCAAAAATTTGCAATTTTTCTGATTTTCAACTTTCGATTTTTTAATTTTTCATATTCAAAAATAATAAAAGTTTCATTTCTTCAATTTTTCGATTTGCAATTTTTCAATTTTTTGAAAATTTAATTTTCTGTTAAATTTTTTGAGTTTTCAATTTCCCGATTTGCAATTAGTATAGTTTCCAATTTAATTCTTTTTAATTCTGAATTTTCAAATTTGTTGTTGATTTTTCATTTCCTCGAGTTTAATTTTCGATTTTTCAATTGAAATTTTTTTAGTTTTCATTTTAAAAAAACTTGAATTTTTTTACTAGAAAAGTTGAAATATTTCTCGATTTTTTGATTCTCTACTTTCGAATTTTTTCCAGTCTTCAGTTCCTCGATTTTTAATGTTTCTTGTTTTTGAACTTATAAATTTTTCAATTTTTAATTTTAGAATTTTTTGATTTTTCAACATATATAGTTTTCGTTTTTTCAAATTTTCGAGTTTCCTATTTTCAATTTTTCAGTTTCCCGATTTATTTTTCGATTTACAATTTTTTAAATTATTACTTTGAAAAGTTTCAGATTTTGACTTTCCACCTTCTGAAGTTTTTTCCCATTTGTCAGTTTCTCAATTCTTAATTTTTCGATTTTTCAACTTCCAGTTTTTCTAGTGTTAATTTAAAAAAAAAAAACTGAATTTTTCACTTTAAGAGTTGAAATCTTAGAAATTATTTTCGATTTTTCAGTTTCTCGATTTTTAATTTTTTGATTTTCAACTTTAGAATATTTTATTTTTTTGTTTCCACTCTTGAGTTCCTGGATTTTTAATTTTTTGGGTTTTTCAAATTTTACATCTTTTAATTTTTCGATATTTTAGTTTTTCACCTCCTATTTTGTACTTTTTCGAATTTTCAATTTAAAGTTTTTTAAATTTTTTGATTTGTCCACTTCCGAATTTTTCAATTTTTCGACGTTTCAATTATGTCATTGTTTCAAATTTTCCATTTGCAATTTCTCGAGTTTTATTTCCAATTTCACAATTTTTAATTTTTCAATTTTTAGACATTTTAACTCCTGGTGTTTTTTATTTTTCGATTTTTTAGTTTTCAGCTGTTTTTGCAACATTTCTAGCTCATAATTTAAAAAAATTGCAATTTTTCGAATTTTCAACTTTCAATTATTTAATTTTTCATATTCAAAAATAATAAAAGTTTCATTTCTTCAATTTTTCGATTTGCAATTTCTCAATTTTTGGAAAATTTAATTTTCTGTTAAATTTTTTGAGTTTTCAATTTCCCGATTTGCAATTAGTCTAGTTTCCAATTTAATTCTTTTAATTCTGAATTTTCAAATTTGTTGTTGATTTTTCATTTCCTCGAGTTTAATTTTCGATTTTTCAATTGACATTTTTCTAGTTTTCATTTTAAAAAAACTTGATTTTTTTTAATAGAAAAGTTGAAATATTTTTCTTTTTTTTTATTCTCTACTTTCGAATTTTTAAATTTTTTCCAGTCTTCAGTTCCTCGATTTTTAATGTTTCTTGTTTTTGAACTTACAAATTTTTCAATTTTAATTTTAGAATTTTTAGATATTTCAACGTTTATAGTTTTCGTTTTTTCAAATTTTCGAGTTTCCAATTTTCAATTTTTCACCTTCTGATTCCATTTTTTAGTTTCCCGATTTATTTTTGAATTTACAATTTTTAAAATTTGTATTTTGAAAATTTTCGGATTTTAACTTTTCACCTTCTGAAATTGTTTCCGATTTTTCAGTTTCTCGATTTTTAATTTAATTTTTCAACTTGCAATTTTTCTAGCGTTAATTAAAAAAAAACTGAATTTTTCACTTTAAGGGTTGAAATCTTAGAAATTATTTTCGATTTTTCAGTTTCTCGATTTTTAATTTTTTGATTTTCAACTTTAGAAGATTTTATTTGTTTGTTTCCAGTCTTGAGTTCCTGGATTTTTAATTTTTTGGGTTTTTCAAATTTTACATCTTTTAATTTTTCGATATTTTAGTTTTTCACCTCCTATTTTGTACTTTTTCGAATTTTCAATTTAAAGTTTTTTAAATTTTTTGATTTGTCCACTTCCGAATTTTTCAATTTTTCGACGTTTCAATTATGTCATTGTTTAAATTTTTCCATTTGCAATTTCTCGAGTTTTCTATTTTCAATTTCACAATTTTTAATTTTTCAATTTTTAGACATTTTAACTATTGGTGTTTTTTATTTTTCGATTTTTTAGTTTTCAGCTTTCGAATTTTCAACTTTCAATTATTTAATTTTTCATATTCAAAAATAATAAAAGTTTCATTTCTTCAATTTTACTACTTTCGAATTTTTAAAATTTTTTCCAGTCTTCAGTTCCTCGATTTTTAATGTTTCTTGTCTTTAAACTTATAAATTTTTCAATTTTTAATTTTAGAATTTTTAAATTTTTCAACTTTTATAGTTTTCGTTTTTTCAAATTTTCGAGTTTCCAATTTTCAATTTTTCACCTTCTGAATCCAGATTTTTTTTCCATTTTTCAGTTTCCCGATTTATTTTTGAATTTACAATTTTTAAAATTTTTATTTTGAAAAGTTTCAGATTTTGATTTTTCACCTTCTGAAATTTTTTCCGATTTTTCAGTTTCTCGATTTTTAATTTTTGGATTTTCAACTTTAGAATTTTTTATTTTTTTGTACCAGTCTTGAGTTCCTGGATTTTTAATTTTTTAGGTTTTTCAAATTTTACATATTTTAATTTTTCGATTTTTTAGTTTTTCACATTTTATTCTACTTTCTCGAGTTCTCAATTTTTAGATATTTTAACTCTTGTTTTTTTATTTTTCGATTTTTTCGTTTTTCAGATGTTATTTTGCAATATTTCGATCTTTGAATTTCAAAAAGTTGCAATTTTTCGGATTTTCAACTTTCGATTTTTTAATTTTTCATATTTTGGTTCTCTACTTTTGAATTTTTAAATTTTTTTCCAGTCTTCAGTTCCTTCGATATTTTAGTTTTTCATTTCCTATTTCGTACTTTTCCGAATTTTCAATTTGAAGTTTTTTAATTTTTTGATTTGTCAACTTCCGAATTTTTCAATTTTTCAACGTTTCAATTATGTCATTGTTTAAATTTTTCCATTTGCAATTTCTCGAGTTTTCAATTTTCTATTTCACAATTTTTAATTTTTCAATTTTTAGACATTTGGTGTTTCTTATTTTTTTATTTTTTACTTTTCAGCTGTTTTTGCAACATTTCCAGCTTATAATTAAAAAAAAATTGCAATTTTCCGAATTTTCAACTTTTAATTATTTAATTTTTCATATTAAAAAATAATATATTCTTTGATTTTTCAACATTCGAATTATTCAATTCTTCGATCTTCCAGTTTTTTATTTCTTCAATTTTTCGGTTTGCAATTTTTTTAATTTTTCGAAAACTTCATTTTCTGTTCAATTTTTTGAGTTTTCAATTTCTCGCTTTACAATTTGTCTAGTTTCCAATTTAAGTTTTTTTTTAATTCTGAATTTTCACATTTTTTGTCGATTTTTCATTTCTTCGAGTTTAATTTTCAAGTTTCGATTTTTTAAAATTTTTTCCAGTCTTCATTCAGCTTCTCGATTTTTAATGTTTTAGGTTTTTCAAACGAGAAATTTTTCGTTTTTAATTTTAGAATTTTTGGATTTTTCAACTTTTATTTTTTCCCATTTTTCAGTTTAACGATTTCTTTTTGAATTTGCAATTTTTTCGATTTTTCAACTTCCAATTTTTCTAGTGTTCATTAAAAAAATGAATTTTTCACTTCAAAAGTTGAAATAATCTTAGAAATTATTTTAGATTTTTCCGTTTCTCGACTTTTAATTTTTTGATTTTCGATTTGAATGTTTTATTTTTTACAGTGTTCAGTTCCTCGATGTTTAATTTTTTGGATTTTTCAAGTTTCTTTGATTTTTTTTACTTTGGAATTATTCAAATTTTGGAACTTCCAGTTTTTCATTTCGTCAATTTTTTTAATTCTGAATTTTTGAAATTTTTCGTCGATTTTTCAGTTACTGAAGTTTAATTTTTCGATTTAGTTTTCGTTTTCAAAAACTTCAATTTTTTCGCTTAAAAAGTTGAAATCTTTTGAATTATTTTCGCTTTTTCAGATTCTCGATTTTTATTTTTTTGGATTTTTCAACTTCCGAATTTTTCAATTTTTAGT